CAGAGGTATTCTCATACTTGACCTTGGAATACATATTTGATCAAAATCCTTCAAATATTGAAGTTTATAGAGTGTTTACATTGAATCATGAAGTGATGGGATAGGATTGACATGGGCAACACTATATAACCGGTATCATATAAAATGTTCATCCCCCATAAAATACTCATCCGAATAGGTATCTTATGGGGATGAATATTTTATAGAACACCGGCCCTCATTTTATGGCGAGGGCATACAAATACTGAGCTATTGTTTCTGTATTCACAGAATCAGCAAACACTCTCCATAGCATTTACATGCAAATGCCATCTTTACCAAACCAGACATGGACATTTGATGAGTGACATTGATACAGATGTATTTCTGTGTCACCCTGGTAAAATGCTAGCCGCTTCCTACCGACTTGGCTAGGGAGAATTTCTCTTAGCTCATTCGGGAGAGCATAAGCCAGAGGTCCCGGGTTCGACTCCTGGCGGAGGCATTGAAAAAATAATGACCTCTACTACATCTGTATGGCAAGAGCAGGACCTAAATTAAAATCAGTGTCGTTTGTTGCAATTTTCCAACCCTGACTTTTTAGGTTTGGTATATAGGTGGGTGATTTTTTTTTTTCAATTTACCTTTTAATAATTTTCGAATCTGAAAGGTATTACTGTTTACAATTTAAAATTGTGTTGATATTTTTTCACTCTCAAACATTTTGTATTGGTCGTGTTCTGGAGCTAGATACATTGACTTTTGATGCATGCATTATTTAATAGATGTCTGATATATTCATACACTGAAAGGTGTTTTTTTGTCATAGAATAGTTTTTGAAAAGAGAAAATGATAACAACATTTGAGAAGGGCTTCTTTTTGTTGGTCAGTCAGCTTATGGCAAACATAAAAATACTTTAATTTAAGCAAGGCAGCTAATAATCATGACAGATATAGAATTGGCCTTAAAGTTTCAGGGCTGAACTGTCTTTCAGGTAAAACGACATCTTTTAAAAGAAACATTTTCAAGTTTACCCTTTCTTTTTAGGTGATATAATTTGTCATTTCTTTCAAAATATCTTGCTGAGCTACTGATAAATCTGCTTATCTAAAAACTCTGCAGAACAGACAAAACAATATGTCCCACGGATTAGATTTAGTGCAATTTAAAAATTAACTTTACCATATAGATACAAATGAACATGATCAAATCACAAATGATTGGAACACTAACAAGTTTACTGGGAAGTGATGGAGTCTACAAGTGTTTGGAAATACTAATGAGCACTTATAATCACTATTGTGACATAATTTCTACTTTTTGACACTTAAGACGGAGTAATTAGTCAACTACAACATTATTGCTTTAAGTGATTTAAACATTTAACATTTTAAATCTAGTCACTGTATTTATAATAACATGTTATATCTAGTCACTGTTTTCATAATAACATGTTATATCTAGTTACTGTATTCATGATAACATGTTATATCTAGTCACTGTATTCATGATAACATGTAATATCTAATCACTGTATTTATAATAACATGTTATATATATAGTCAATGTATTTATAATAACATGTTATATCTAGTCACTGTATTTATAATAACATGTTATATATATAGGCAATGTATTTATAATAACATGTTATATCTAGTCACTGTTTTCATAATAACATTTATATCTAGTCACTGTATTCATAATAACATGTAATATCTAGTCACTGTATTTATAATAACATGTTATATCTAGTCACTGTATTTATAATAACATGTTATATCTAGTCACTGTATTCATGATAACATGTTATATCTAGTCACTGTATTTATAATAACATGTTATATATATATAGTCAATGTATTTATAATAGCATGTTATATCTAGTCGCTATATACATGATAACATGTTATATCTAGCTAATGTATTTATAATAACATGTAATATCTAGTCACTGTATTCTTATAACATGTAATATCTAAGTCACTGTATTCATAATAACATGTTATCTATAGTCACTGAATTCATGACAACATGTTATATCTAGTCAATGTATTTATAATAACATGTAATATCTAGTCACTGCACTTATTAGTCATTGTACACATGTAGTTTTTTTTGTACAGGATTTTTAAAAGCTGGTGTATTTTTATCTGAATTAAACAATTATATTCACAAGTCTGTATTTGAAAACTGTGGTAGATCAAATATCAAAGCATATTTCTTACGATAACTTTTACCAAAATTCATTTTTTTCATGTAATTACCATCACTTATTGGATGTTGAACTTTTTTATCTTTCTCCCCAAAATTGCCAAAATTTGAAGATTACATGTACTCAAATTCCACCTATTTTTATGCAATTACAAAATCCCTTGTAAATATCATCAGCTGCAATATATATTATTTGTTTTCAGTATTTTCATATATCTTGTCCCACAGCAATACATACAAAATCACACAGAAATTGTGTAACAGTGTAAATTTTCATAATGCAAAACTGTGATCATCAAAAACTACATTTTTTATAAAATAAAGTGATAAAAGATATTAGTAGCAAAATGTTCAAAGAAATCACACACGAAAGTTGAGTTAAAGCGTTATTGTGAAGAGTTGTGGAGGTGCATAGAAAGGAAACTAGACAGTGCACAACAACAAACAAGCATAGTCAACTTCATCAAAAAGCTTCATCATTCCATGAATAAGCAGCTCTGGAAATTATTTACTTCTAAACTGCATCTCCTTTCTAGTTCATGTACGTACTACGAGACTTACAAGAATTTCTCCTTCAAGTTAATATCTACACAAGTTTTATTCTCAAGCTTTTAAGCAAAAATTAAAATAAAACAAAAAATGCAAGCAAATCGTAAACGTTCAAACCTCAGAAACTTGTACAAGAAAACTTATGAAATAAAAAACAAAACAGAAGAATTTCAATAATTTTTAATGAATCATAAAATTACATAAACATCACCATAAATTTAGACCAACAGTACAATTCATCACAAGTTTAGGGCAATACATCTGGACAATTTATAATCCATTATATTTTATTTTAAAAATAAATGTCATTATCTAAGCACTTTCTAATTAGGCCATTTGATTATGACGTCATGTATATTAAAATTATTGTATGACGCCATGATCATACCATTTCCAAATATGGAGCTAAATCAGTCACTTTGATAGTTCCTAATTACATGTTATAAAGCACTGTTATAAAGTTCATCTAACAGGAAAATGCCTAGGCCCTAATCATTCATTTGGTGAGTTGTATATATAACTGTAAGTTACATATCAACAACTTTATTACAAATGTTATCAACAATATCACTACAGTGAAATGCTTTGATATAAACACATCAAGGGGTTCGTTACAAATGTCTGAAATACACGTATGATAAACTGATATAGGTCACAGTACACATATATCCATATCAGTATATAGCATATGTGTATTTCAGACATTTGTAACGAACCCCTGTGATATAAGCTTTGTGTTAAAAAAACTAATAGCACTAATATTTTACAAACCAAACTTTAAATTTCAATCTATCGATTGAAGAAGATTTAAACAGCATTCTGTCAATATCAAAGATCCGCGGATACATAAGTAATCTGACATTGATACAGAGAAACCTCTATTAACTGACATCCATTTAACATTCTATAGAACATGATTTCAAAAGGCTGACATTTTACTTACACACCATCACATGAATAACTGTAGATAGGGTTAATTTGTGTTTCACTCTGTGTGTTACTTAATTACATGTCTTCCAATATTAATTAAATGTTTTGTTTTCTTTTGTTGTTCAATATTTTTGTTATTCATCTTTCATTCTAAAATGCCATGCATACTGACAGATGCTCCATTCTAAAATATCATGCATACATACAAGCCCCTTTTTCAATTATAAAAGGAAATAAACAAAGAACTTTGCTGACATTCCTTTAAAAAATAACACTTAACTTTTCTTCAGTCAAGATTTTTGTAAAATAAAAAATCATCATTTTAATTTCAATCAAACAAGCGTTCACATTAAATTTTAAAATTTTAAACTTTATAAAAAATACCTCTGTTTTAAAGCTCGCTTATAATGCATACTTCTTGCCATTATATTGTAGATACTGTATTTGATTTAATAAGGGCGCCAAGCATGGGGGGAAATTCCAGAATTCATCGAGAAGTTTTTAAATGATATTCCTAGAATCTCTGGGGAGTTACCCTTACTAGAGCAGGAACCCTTATTACATCAAATATGGTAACTACATAGCTCTATCATAATACTTATCATGTCTAATATCTATCTTTGTACACAGGATTTGTGTTTGAGCTGACTGAATACAGTCAGTGATAAGTCCTGTTGAATTATACTTAACTGCCCTTTATGTTCATGCAATCATTGCTCAATATTATTTACTATACCAATCTGTTATGATTGAAATGTATTTCACCAGTGATAGGCACTAGAGTTGTGTTTGTTTTTGTATCAATAATTAACATTTCATGACAGTCTTTCTGTAAAAACAGTTTGTTCCAAAATTTTACAACAATCTCATCATAAATATGCAAGAAATGACTGATTTCCAAGTACAAAAATTTGATCTTCATCTGTCAAATATATTTCACAAGGAGAAATATTTCTGAGCTGGGATTGGTTTGTACTTCTAATTCATATTTTGGTTTGTATGGGATTCTATCACTTCACAACATTTATTTCAGCTCATATGAGGATGGTCTTGACTGGGCTTTATCCAAAACAGACTACCATAAAAAGATAACATTAAAGAAAGCCTTCTTCTGAAATGATCTTCATTAAATTTGTTATTTTTTACAAAGTCTAGGACTTGATACAAATCATGTATACCTGTTTGATTATCACTGGTGAAACACTCCAACCAATAGCAATTAACTATTTTTGGTAACACAAAACATGTCTGACCACAGGCATAAAATGTAACTAATTTCAACTTCATGCAGTAGACAAGAACCATCAGTAGATTGAAGATACTTACATAGACGCAAGTCTATATCTAAATCTTGGTTTATATTGGAACAATGTCCTAAAATAAGTGATTAAAATACACTATATCAAATGAACAAAAGAGTAACACTGAAAAAGATTTAAATTTGCCTAAATTTGCTATTTTTTTCACCTAGAAATATTTTTGAAAGAAAAGGTAACATATGTCTGCTTATACATCATTCCAATTTGAAAACAAAAACTTCTATCTTCAAAATGATGATTATATTGTATTCATATAATTTAAACTTATATTTGTTACTAACATAATTATTTAATGCACTTTGATCAATAGACTTCATATCATCATATGGGTGACCATAATTAAGGATAAACCTGCTATTTTGTGTTGTTACCTCCTTTCAAAAGAATTCTACACTAATAAATTTTGGTCATAATGTATTGAATCGATAAAACTTCAGAAACATACCAGGTATACCAAAAAGGCATTTATCTTTAACATGCATCTATATTTCTCAATCATTAGACAATGTTACATAAAACCAATCAACAATCAAAAGTAGAATGTATCTTAAAAAGCTAAAATTGAAATCAATCTCCTCATACATACAGGAAAGTTTTGAAAGTTTTATCTTCAATTAGGGGTGAAAGTTGGAAAGAATCTTTTCAGAATTATCTAGCAAATGTCTACTGGACCTTTGATGTCGATTTATTCACCAAATAGTAAATGTTTTCATGCAGGAATTAAGAATGCAAATTGAGAAAATGCATGGTTTGGATTGGAATAGGGATGAAATAGGTTTATGATACGTGGTATATATATATATTAGTGATATTGATCAATCAACATCTCTGTGTAAAGTGCATTAAAAAGCAAACATGATGGCTTAAATATCTTGTGTACATGATCCAGCTCCGTGTTACTTATCTAGGGTAAAGGGTCTCTGGTCAAAAATCTAGATCACTGGTACAATAGCTATATAGGTCAATAAACTAATCATGATGAAAATTAAAAAAATGTGACAATTTTATAATCATATGTTAACAAATTATTTTTGCAAACATTTTCACTATTTTTTAAAAACTAGAGAATGCCTTGGTATCAATGCACAAACTTCTTCTATACACTTAAAATCTCAAATCCAACTGTTTAATGTAAATACTTCAAACTTAACAGACTGTGTAACGTGAATACTTCAAAATTATGTAAAACTTTTGTTGTTTATAAATACAAACAAGTTAGTATAAAAAGTGTGCTTTATAAATTAACCATTGAAATAAGGGTTAATCCAGTATATATCTATCCCGCCCTAGTACTTCTGTTTTGAACCTTTCATAAAAAAAAAAAATGAAGAATTCGAAATAATAGGCAGAAAACCAGATCATAGATACTGGTAGCTGCAATTTATTTTGGAGTCCTTGGGTCAGTTAGATTTTTGCTGGAACAGCCATAAGATAAAACTCTATTCTCACACTATCACACAATTCATAAATTACATCATAAATAAATCAGGTGACTGTAGTAGTACATCTAATAAACGCAACATAAAGATTGTTTCGGTCTGCAGTCATGTATGTCAGTGGCCGATACAGGTGGTACATGTATTAATATCAATTACAAGCTCCCCGTCTCTAGTCCTAACAATCCAGAACAGAAAATATTTGTTTTCATTTTAATATCACACACAAAAAATCACCAATCATTTGTGACATTTGATGACTTTTTATGAGTCAGACCCATTTTTCAACTCAAAATGTTTATCAAGTTCATTTCACAAGGGTAAGGAATATACACAATGTCATGTTTTTACTGTACAATATTTTTTTCTGTCCAGAAACAGTTCACCCCTTCTTAAATGAAACCCTGGATCCACCACTGTTACATATGCGACTAATACAAGTTCAGAACATACTCTTTTTTACTTCCTATAATTTTCTATGATTTCCTATTTCACATAATGTTACAGTCAACTGTAAGCACTACCTTTTTTTAAACAAGTATAGATTTAGAGCTAGTTGACAGTCTTAAAGCTTCTGTACTGGCCTAACTTTGAAAAAAACAATGATTTCCATTTGCTGGTTACTCATGGAATGTGCAAAGAAGAACAAGACAAACTTGAGGATGTTGTTTTAGAAGAAAATAATACATAGAATGTGCAAATGAACTGAAGATATTTGCGCAATAGAAACCCTATACAGATTATCCACATAGAAGAAGCTTACAGATAAGATATTAAAAAGTGAGGTTAAAAAGATTCATTCAAGGCAAAACATTGACAGGTACGTTGACATTTATGTAAGTCACAGGTAAAAGCTAAAATTAGGTACAGGTAAATGAAATGACAGGTAAGTGACAGGTAATAAGGCAATTTGAAAATGCACATGTAAGTCACAGGTAGACTTTGAGTGCGCTTTAGCCAGGTGACAAATCACAGTTAAGTGAAGAGTCACAGGTAAGCCGCAGGTAAAGTTAACAGTGTGATGATGGCAACAAGTAAATGTACAGGGTTCACAGAAACACAGGTTCATTGTAGATATAAGTACTCACTGATCGTTAAGGCGCCCTGATCGACCCATAGTTCTGGTTCCGAACGTCCTACAAGTCAAAAAAAAAAGTCACAATCAAATTTAGCTTGAGTTCAATCTGTAAAATGCAGTCTGACTTTGTTTAAAATCATGTTGAATATCCTATTGATGTTGAGTCTTTTCGTGATTCTGTGGCATCTTTTCTTTACACTAAGTATGTTTACAGTGCTATTCCGTCTTTGCGTATTGCAGAGTTATCTTCTCTTGGGAGCAGGTATTGATTGTTACGTCATTGGTCTGTGTGAGAAAATTACGTCGTTTTCTCAAAAATTGATGACGTTATTCTCACAAACAAGTGACGTAACAATCAATACCTGCTCCCAAGAGAAGATAACTCTGCAATACGCAAAGACGGAATACTGTAATGTAAATCATTTTAGCATCAATACAGCCCGATTTTTTAAGGTTTGGAAGATTTTAACATCACAGGGTTCAATTGTAGACTAGAACAAGGTGGATTTTCCCTTGTTTTATCAAAAATTCCCAGACGGAAATTTAGAAGAAAATCACCCCATCATCATATTGTATGTATATATATGAATGTTTAACACAATAGGTTAAGGTGGTATGTATTGTATGTCTGATTTTCAGATACAAAAATCTGTTTTCAATACATGTATAGTGAATGATTTTTCTACTTCCTGTCCACAGGGGCCTGTGCCTGTTGATTTAGGAAATATCACCCACCAAAATCATGATTTTGGGAACGAAAGTGTTTTTTTGCATTGATTTTGGGGAAAAAACAGCAAAATTTATCTTGAAAAGGTCCTAAATTAACCTTAAAAAATCACTGTATAGGATGGATAAAATTCCTGATTTGGATACAAGCAACCTAATTTTCCCAATGCAAAAAGCAACTGGCCCTAGTCTTTTACTTGAATAAGATTTTGCATGATAATTAGACTAAGTTAATTTAGTACCCTTGCCCCTTAAATTTAAAACTGATCATTCTTTGTTGTATATCCTTTACTTTTCAATTTGAGTTGAAATTTTACCCTCTTTTGTTTCACCCACTTGTACAATTTACCCCATTTCTTCTGAAATTCTGGAGAAAAATTGTCAAAAACATTTTATTTACAATTTCTTGTTTCCATCCAGTACTACATGTACAGTGTACTGTCATACATTTGGACATTCTTGTATGTGTCTGCTTTTAACTGGTTCAGACATGTACCTGATATATACATGTGTATGAACATCCACAGTATACCTACCACTGTGTCATTTCTGGAATATTTCTAAAGAGATCACACTCTCTATTTCTGGTTTTGAAAGCAGGAATATTTCTGAGGAAATTTAACTTGTGCAATTAAAAAAGCACTAGATCAACTCTTCTATCTTTCACTGTTTTATATAAACATCAAGACACTAATTTCTTCACAAAATCTGACACAATTTTGTCTTGGACCTATTAAACAGATTTTTAACAGAAAAATTTGTCTGAAAGGATTTCAGAATTCAAATTTCAACTTTACCTGGAGTCAAAGTGTCTTCTGAGCCAAACAGCCTTATGTTGGGTAATGGTAACCAGATATATTTTACTTGGCCAGACTTACCTTGTGGTTCGGCCCAGAGTACCTGTGGACAGTTCTCCTGTTTGACCCATATCGGTCGTGTCCAGCATATCTTTCTCCTTGATTCGTTCCATGTTGGCCTTGAGCGTGGAACTTTTGGCGCGGACCTCTGCTTTGGAAGCCTGTTCTTTGATCCAGTTAAGATGGTCCTTGTCCATGGAGATGTCCAGGGTGGGAACCATCTTATCTTTGTTATACTTGGTGAAATCCCTACTCTGTAAAGTCTCGTACATCAGAGTGGTATCAGTTAATGGAGTTTCTGTCCTATTGAGCGGTGACCTTGCCCTTCTTGGTTTAGGCTTTGGTTTATGGACACTTTCGGCTAAATGTTTGTCACTGTGTTTCTCCTCCGTTTGGTCCTTCCTCTTCTGCGGCGGAGCGGTGTAAAATTTTGTTTGACTGAGCTTGGATGTTCTCGTTGACTTCAGAGTTCTCGGTGTGAATGGTTTCTCGGGTTCAGTAAATACATGTTTCCTCGTGGCAAGTATGTCGCCATCCTCAACCTTTCTGTTGTGTGCTGCTCCCTGAGCCAATGCTGACCTTGACACCCCACTAGCAGCTGATCGTACGGATCTAGCAGATGAGGGCCTCTTGGGATAGCCAGATCTATTGACTTGCTGATGGGAATAGGCCTGGTAAAGGTAACCTTGGGGGTCTGGCTGCTGATAGCTTCGACCTTCACTGTAGTAGTTTTGACCTTGACCTTGACTTTGTCCATTATTGGCATCATAGGATAGTGAACCGCCGTATGTTGCCTCAGTGCTTTCTACCCTGTCTTGCCTGTTGGATTTTAAAGTTGTCTTCATAATGTCCAAAACTAAACGATCATCATCATCTTCAGGATCAAAGTCATTCTGAAGCAGAAATAATGGTTTCTTTTGTGAAAATCTTGGCACTTTTAATGTCAAAATTAAGAGAGGCTTAAAATAAAATTTAAAAAAAATGAAACTATCAGGATATAAATGAAATTAAGAAAGGAACTGCACTGTAAGCTCTCCGAGTTGAACTCTAGGAAACTGAATAAACAACTTTTCAACAACAAGGTTAATGTATATATCCAAATTAAAAACATGTAGGCAGAATCTGTCTATTGTTATGATCAACAAATTAAGTACCTAAGTATGTATACAAGTTAAATTTGGTAACTCAACATGTTACACTGACATATGTGTACGTTATGATGAGGCAGTTGAGCATTTTTATTACACACACAGCTTGAAGCACTTCATAAAATTTCAGGTTATTCCTTGGTCTAATCATACATCAGATCATATCAATTTGTTTTTTTAAATTTAGAAAATTCATTTCTGAGACAAATTCATCACTGATTTATTTTCAGGTTATTTCTTGGTCTAACGGGTCATATCAAAAATTTAAAGTTTCAGGTTATTCCTCAGTCTTATAAGATCATATGAATTTTTTTTTTAATTCAGAAAATACATTTCCAAGATAAATCAATCACTGATTAAATGTCAGGTTATTTCTTGGTATTATCAGATCATATCAATAATTTTAAATTAAGAAAATTCATTTCAGAGATAAATATTTGCAGCCCATTCTTAGTCTTACCAGTGCTGCCTGGTCATCCATTCCGTCCATGTCGTCGTAATAAACATTTCTGGAAGTGGGACGGACGTTCATGCTGGAGCCAGGACGTACACCAGTCTTCTTCACATAGTCTCGAGTCTTCCTGTCACGAGCTATAGTATAATGGAAGCAAGGTGTTCATTGTATCACAGGCCCAGAAAAATGTATAAACATTAATGATTTTGATAGAGATCTTTAGGCTTGAGAGACTGGAATTTTCTCAGTTTAAAGGCAACAGAAAAGGAATAACCTTTTTCTTAACATCTGAAATACATTTTCTATTTCATATTTAGATCGCTCTTTTATTTACTCATAATACATCATATAAAAGTATATGGCTACCTGGTGCTAAACACCAATTAACCTAATTGAAAAATTTCAGATATTGTTGCATACTTGTTTCACTTCAAAATCTGGTCCAAAAAGACCAAAATAAAAATGTGTAAATAACTTGCATTTCCTTTAAAACCATCACCAATTTAATAGATAATATAAGAAAAAACCATAGGAACAGTTTTTCCTCAAGATAATTTTGATCTGCTTGTCCTTTTTCACCTACCTTTCTGACTGGTTGCCAACACCTTTGGTGGTCTGTTATCTATGGCAGCTAGATAAAGGGAAAATACAATAATTCATTAATTTATCAAGACTAGACAAAGCAAACATGAAAGAATGACTATCTTGTTTATAGTGATATTTTCTGGGTATATTTACTTCCACATAAATATGTTTCCCAAATATAATTTACTATCTTTCCAAACATTTAACTCCCCATTTTTTTTCCTTTCTTTGTTGGTGGCAATCGTGAGTTATATCAATAGAACTAATTGGATTTTCTAAAACTTCTTGCCACATTTCAAATCATGACATTAAGGGATGTATTTGTTATTATTTGCTTGGAAATAATAAGGGAGGTAATAAGTGGAATACCTACAATTGCAATGCTATGTTTTGAAAGTTAGCTAATGCCAGGTGTTGCTTTACATCCACTGGAAGTGGTGAGATTAATTGTTTTCACTCGTAAACTCATTATTGAACATAGCTATCGTTCCTAAAAATAAATACTACTGATAATGTCTTCGCTCAATAGGAGAGATTGTTCACAAGCTTAAAATGAAAACGATAAATATGTATCTCATAGTATCATCAGTCCAAAGAGATGTAAACCCAGTCATGGTCTTTCACCACATGTTCACAGTAACATATATTTCTAGAGACATTTGGTCTGGTGCTCCTGCCAGCACCTAGCTTTACAGGACTTACTCACTACCTGGCAATTTCGGGGGAAAACCTTATGGCAGTCCTGTCCAACTTACATCTGGCATTGACAATTTTGCTGTAATGGTTATTCATGTGGTCCAGCACAAGGTACTGAGTAGTCAGTTTGGCTGAGGTCGGGGCCAGCGCTGAAAACATGACAAAGTTTTTAATGAAATTTATCTGAATTGATTTTCATGTCTTCACAAGAACTAGCCTATACAGGTATCATATATATATATGCTAATCACAAGTTTTTTAAAACTACATTTAATCACACTTATCTTCAATTGAGCTATTCTTCAAAATCCAATTCTGATTCTAGTACACAAGGAAAGTATTTATATTCTTTCACCAGTGTTTATTTATATAATATAAACCATATAATATCAGGAAAAAATTTTCAAGCAACACTTTTACAAACAATAATGGTATATTACCACTGCTCCGCAATCCAAGCTGGCCCTTCATTGCTGTCATGTTGGATTTGGCCTGCATCCCTTCAAAAAAAAAAAAATACAACCATTCGATATCTTCAACTTTTCTGTACTTGTATTTTAGTACAAATCTTCATAAGACTAATAAAATCTTTCACCCCCTGGGGGGGGAAATAGAGGGATCTCAACCAGAGGGGAAGATTCTTAAGTTGCCAAACACGAGGCTGTGCCGAGTGTTTGGCAACATTTAGAATTTTCCCCCTGAGGGTTGAGATCCCCCTATCTCATCCCTGAGGGGGTGAATGATTATTTTTCTCTTACCCTGTTGTTCCTGTCCAAGTGTAAGACGAACCATATTGTTTGTAAACAGGAACACGTGGATAGCGTATTAATATGATATGTATGCGTCAGACGTTTCGCGCATATGATCCATCATTTCCCAGATCACTGATTTTGAACATTTTAAAATCAATCCCGTCTTCTTTGATGTCAAATGTAAACACAACAAGATTAGCAGACAAACTTGTGTATGTATGTGACCTCATAAAAGTAGTTCTTCTTCCGGGTCACAACAGTGACATCAGGTTTATTGTGGAGAACGTGCAAAGAGCATGTGTAGCTTGTCTCGACCCTAGGGTGAGACAAGGAAATCTCACACCGGTAAAAGTAAGGATAAATCTGTCCAGGGTAAGAGAAATATTTATTCTGTCACATATAACAATTTGGTCAAATTGCAAATGTTTGGGATTAAACAGAACTACAGTAAGGATGAAATGTGTCAGTTTAAAGTAGTAATAAATACCCTGAAATCTTTGATATGATTTTTTTCATGAAATTCAATTTTACAATATCATCCCTATGTAACAGAAGCGGGGAAAATGCACAGCCAGACTGAGGTTCAAACACAGGACCCTCCAAACTCTAGACGGACGCTTTACCAATTGAGCTACATATAGCTACCTGCTTGTCGAAGATCGACCCATTCTAGTTTCGCTACAACTATAAAATATGTGTACCAAGAAAGAGAAAAAATACACAGCCATTGCCAGATCAAGATTAGACCCCAGGACCGTCCAAAATCTAGATGGACACCCTACCAATTGTCAGAGCTACTTCAATAGTTGCTGTCGAAGGACTACTTCCCTCTCCTTTTTCTAAGCTTCTCTCCAAAGATGTTAAGTATATTCAAAAGCACCCAGGTATTTAATGCAAGGGTTGGTCACAGGCGCCACTGTAATGACAGATTTGGAAAATACATGACCGGACTGGGATTCGAACCTGGCACCTCCACAACTCTAGACGGACGCTCTACCAATCGAGCTACTGCTGGTCACCGACAATCTATTGAGTCCAGTTCCACTAATTACATATATGTAACAGGACTGAGACACATAATGGGGCACACAGGAACTCAAACTCTGATACACAATCACTGCTGCCAGTGCCACTATAGAAGAACACTGAGTGAAAACAGAAATAATCTAGTGATGGTCACCATGAGCTATATCATACATCATGTTGAACCGATGCAAGATCAAATGATTTACTCTTATCTCAGCAGTAAGACTAAGACTGTGGCCTATTTGTGGTCCAACCAATGCCACCATTCATACAGAACCACATCATCATTGAATGGAACTCATATATATATTTTTGAAATATTTAAACATAGGATGACCCATATAATATAACAATGTTATTTAAAAGCACCGATAAACAAGAGATCCCAGCGGATCTTGACAACTTAAGTTCGGACCTGCTATATGTTTAAAATGTCAGCAGTTGACAGATCAAAACACCTTGGTCAGGCTGGTTTCAACAAACGCGCTCACTTGTTTCAAACGTATGGACAGGTGCGATATCCCAATTCAACTACGCACCCTGGTTGATACATTCAGAAAGCATAGCATTAGGCCTATATGGACACGATCGTTAAAGAAGACGACAGAATTAGCGTCAGACTTAGCCATGAATAATGAATGTGTTGTGCTTGGAAAATAACCGAACATGTCTTCACACGTTACGAATGAACAGAAAATAAAGCAATCTTCGTCTGCGTAATAAAATCTGAAATAAAGATATGCAATAAGTCAATATTGCTTATGGTTATCGAATCTTCAGTACTACACTACAGTATTATTAACCTGCATTCCCGGTGCGTCCACCCATTCTTCAGGATTTAAGCTAGCCTTCAGAGAACGTCGTCCATTTTGGTAACTAGTAACTCGGTGTGGAGCGCCACAAGGGAGATAACTGTTTCAACGAAAATATAATATATATATGTGACGGGGGCGGAGATATTTAATTATGCTTTAAAACATTGGCGACTTCCGAAAGGTATTGAAAGATTTTTTTCTCAACAACAATAAAAAAAAATGGGAGAAAATGTAAGCAACTTTCTATGCTTAGCAATACCACGGACTTAGATAATCTAATATCGTGGCAATACACATGTTTTTTCTGAAATATTTATTTAAAAAAAAATAAACAGACGATCTCGTCTGTTGTTTATTTCAGACTGAATTGCTGAAGCTATTATAATGTTTTACACAAATGCAGTTTTATTGATAACATGAAATGAGAATCGTTCAGGATATATAACAGATTATCTACCGACTCCAGGTACCAAGGAACAGACGACCTGTATCGTCCGCCTAGATTTTTTAAACCATCAATCTCTTGGTACAACTTGTCCAAAACATTTACTCTGAGGGACCTTGGAATAAGGTCAATGTCATCATTAATGTACACAATGATACCCCTTCATTCATACATGCTAATGGGCAAATATCCTTACCATAAATCTTCGGATAACAATGAAAGCGGGTCAGGGTCATTTATTTGAACAAACGTGATGACCCTTACAGATTGCATGTCAAAGATCAATGTCCGTAATTCACGAAACCGTTTTCGTGCTCAAGCATGGATTCTGTGTTCAAACACATTTTTTTCTTAATTGTTACTGGCTTAAAATCAAAAGTCAAGTCAAAACATCAAAAACGGTATTCGGACCATGGTCTCTCCAAAATTCTCCGAGATCATTGATAAAATGTATGTTTTTATTGATTATTCACGGAATAAGAAATTGGGCTTGAGCGCAAAATCTGGATTGAACAAGAGGACAGACTACAACATTTTCATGAATACAGACCCATATGTGTCTAGATCGACCTCCTGGTTATAAGAAGATGGATAGGAGAAATACCCATAAAAGTCTATGCTGACAGTTGACCTCTTTTCAATAAATTAGCAAAAGGCCATATGTTTGAGAAAAGTTTATATATCGCTTTATACAGGGTAAATATGTAGCTAGTGGCTATTATAAGTATCATGGCAGTAACTCTTTCTGTTCTGCAGAATCAGTAAAAAAATAAAATAAATAAATAAAAAATGACAAAAGGCGGAAGCCACATCTACCATAAGCTCCGTGCCAGGTCGCAGTGATGTGAATTCAATCGCATCCTCTCGCGCACTTAGCCATATGTTTCGTTGGTTTTCTCCGGGTACTCAAGTTTCCTCCCACATTAAAACCACATGCGAGCTAACATCCGGGCCAACAAGAAAGAGAGAGAGTAATATAAGTTGAAATGAGTGACTTGTTTCTTAATTGTTGTAAAATAAATGAGGTGTTTTTTATTTCCACTTTTGTTGCTACATGACAAAATCTCGCGTCTTTGCGACAAATAATTACAACGATAAAAAGTCCATGTGATGTCGGCAAGTATAGGAAACAAATATGATATAACTAACCACCGACTTCAAAACTTGCAGCTTTTACCCTTCTTCAGGGTTATTTCAAAGGACAACAACTTGTTTTCAAAAATCCGTATGAAGGGCGAAAGGTGCAAGTTTTGATATACAAATCGTGATATATATATTTATGAGTTTGTTGCATAGTTTACAGTTAAATAATCTGTATATATATTGCAACAATTATAAAACTACTTTTATGAACAAACATTATTGCTCTTGTTGGCCAGGAAGGAAGCGCGCAGGGGGAGGTAATCCTCACTTCTCATGTCCGATTGGAGAATCGAACCCTGACTGTCCATCTCCGAATTGAACCCCGGCCATCTCGGTGAAATGCAAGTGTGCTGTGCTTGGTCAATTACAGTATACACTAATTGCATGTCGTAAGGGAGTTCATGACGACGACGAAGAATAATAATGATGCTGATGATGAAAACTTGTGTTTCTAGGGCGTGTTATTTCTATTACATGTTGCATATCCATAAGATTGTAATTTTATATACTGGGTATGTGTACAACTTAACAGAAGTAGAGAAAGTAAACATTGTTATTTACTCTTTTCAACTTTTTTCATATTCATATTTGATATATATATATATATATATTTTTCGAGTTTCATTTACCACACCTGACTCATTATGCAATCTTAATTAACTTTATTCAATTTATTGCGAACATCTACCGTAGATGTTTGCCTTCAAACTTGAATCCATTTACAAGGGGTAACATGCCGACCTGTCCTATTCGTCAACGCTTCTCGTGGTAGGTTTTACGAAGGAAAATATAATCCAAATAATACGCGATATGGGAATTTTGGATGTCATCTGAAGTCAATGGTTGTTATTTTTATAGCTGCCGCCAAATATGACGGCTTTTGATTAAAGAACAAATGATGCCGTGGTGTGCCTTCTTGCTATAGCGGTATCAGAGGGATACTCAAAAAATTTAAATATAAAGAATTTATGTAAAGGAATAATGCTCCAGGTGCGCAACCCTGAACACCAACTTTTGTGTATGAACGATATTCACTGTTACGGCACATTGATGACACCGGTGTGTGTGTGAAGTATCAAATTTCTGGTTCTGTAATATCAGGGACGTATATACTATCCCTGGTAATATTAAAGTATATTTCAACATATTTCACCAAATCACACATGAACTGACTAATGCGAGGACCCTTGCAGAAACCAAAATTGATCTGCTGCCCCCATCCAAACACTGCGGATCTATATTTTCCTGTCCCCTTCCCTTTCGTTTCGGTGGTGTCTGCCTAAGCACCCGTCTTTATATTGACTTTGTCTGTTGCGAGGACGTTAAACCGCATACAAACAAACCCTCCTCGAATGCCAGGGGTTACGCTCACTTAGAGAACTTAGGTGCGCGCAACCCATGGAATTTCGAGAATGCAAACTTATGGTGCTCGACTTACGTTTTACTTCCTATATATATATAGACGCATTAACAATTTGAACATGGGTGTATCATAACAATGGCATGATCACAGAGACCTGATAATTTGTTACAGCTATATTTGGTCCTAAACTAAGGTGTTCAAAATAATTTTAAATGTTTGATGGGTTTAGATCAACTTTCGGATAAAAATGCCACCCCAATGATTATACATACGAATCATTGCTGGTGTCATTTTTACCGAAAGTCGATCTGAACCCCCACATGTAACATTACTCTGAACATCTTAGTTTAGGTCAAAATATAGCTGTAACAATTGTTCATGTCCCTGTGGGCATGACAATGAAACATATACGCCTGAAACATACAAATTAATGTATTACCAGTTAAATATTTTATGCGTGTAACGGAGTCAGCGAAACAAAAACCGAAAAAAGATCCGTCTCAATAGAAGCATTTAATTGTGTTAACGACCGACAAACTTGTACAAAAGAACGACATGTCTGCCTCGCTTGCTACAGATGTAAGTTTGCACAGCCAGATCTGTTCATAGTTTCAGTCGAAATAGTCCTCTCCACTGAACAGGTCTAGATGTCTGTGATTGTTGGATGGGGACAACAGAACTCGTGGCGACGTTCTCCTGCCATCGCCTTCTCCTCGCATATCCGGCATGGCGGGTATGCAAGCTGGTCTTTTTGGCGTAGCCGCCTCGTTCAATTTAGGCGTGAATGGAACAATTTGCTCTTCGCCTTAAAAATAAGGAAATGAATATTTTACAAGAAATGCACCTTTTTAGCATATTTTGTCTTTATACATCTCCCGTATCTTTGTTAACTGTAGAAAGAACATGTAGGAAGTTCAATTTATCTTTCATAAAAAGAGAGCTTATTTCGAAGCTAAGTTTAACTAATTTCAACCAAATGCAAGCGACATCGACATTTATAAACTCCGGCCCTCTGATGCTTAACGTCTTAGTGAATAAACTGATGATTTATTTCTAATTTACGAAAGATGAACAAACGCAACACCCAAACCGATTTGCACATTTAAAATTTGATAATATGTACAGCATATATAGGCCAAAAATGTACGACACTGCACCATACAGCTGTTTCGTCCTTCTATGACCCAACGGTGATGCTTGGGGCCAAAACGGTAGAAATCCTTTTTGATCTGAATTCGTATTGCATGCATGTGCTTTTGGTCTTTCGATGGGATCGGTACAAACAGCGCAATATATAGAATGTTAGTTCTCCATTGCATATGATATTAAATATCACTCCAGTGAGCGATGCTTTTTTGAGCTATGAAATTATAGAGTTCTTATCACAATATCAAGAATGTTCGCGACTAAAACATTTACCTTGTCATATTGGCTTAATATGCGTTCCCTGTTGTGACGTCATAAAATAATTTGGAATTCTGTGACGTCATTTCATTATAATTTAAGGAATTCACAATACTTTATATTACACGAGTTAATATGAGTGAAATTCACTGCAATAATGTGATAAATGCATACAAAACACAAATATAAACAATCATATTTTGTAGTCAGGGAAACAAACTGAGGAACCTATATTACCCAAATATGGTTTCCGTCGGCGGAGATCTTTGCAGCAAAGACTTCGGTATGGCGTTGTTGAATGAACTGGTGTGGCCCCAAGTAGGGGCGTGGCCACGGTTGACATTGCTCTTGAAAAGGGTGTGGGCCTTGATAATGGTGTAAGGATGGGCGTGGTCGTAGATGAAGGAGTTAAGAAGGTTGAGCTCCTGCCCTCATTTAGTGGCGTGTTCCATGGAGACCTAGGGAAGCGATGCTGTGGAGTCCGTGGTACCACATTTGCCAAAGTTTCTGTACAATAGAACAAATATGTGAGGTCAATTTCTTAATGTACTGTTCATATTTGGGACGAAATTACATTTTAAAAACAAAATAAGAAATATATAAAGAATGCAATGCCTTTTGTCATGTCATACGATGAAAATAAAGCCATAGCACGCTAACGTTAGACAAACGTGTACTACCTGGATTCTCAAAACGATTGCCCGTGTCTGGTACAACAGCATTTGGCGACTCCCACCAGCTGTAACCACTGTGCTCCAGTCGCTCAGATATCAGGGAGGGTGTGGTCGGCACATTCTGTGCTGGTGAATAGCTGCTCATCATCAACGAATGTTATCTCGCAGGAGCCCCTTTATACAGAAGCAAATGTATTGATATTTGTATTTAAATTTCTGTGTGTTGGAAATGTGTTGACCACTAATGTTTTTATTAAAGTCGTTCTGGAAAGTATGGAATTTGTTGAAATTTATGTGTAAACACACCATTAGGAAGAGAGATAGGTGATTGAAACGTGAAGATCAACCTCAATGCATAGCGAGTCAAGATCGAATTACAGGGGGGAAATGAATGGTCGAACATAACCCGCCTTGGGCCATGTTCGGACAGGCAGTTTGTGGTAATTATATATAAGTCCGACCCACGTTGGAATCAGCATAATTATGATGCCATAAAGCAGGCAACGTAATATTTCCCCGCCTATTTCTTGACTTCCTATGGTACACGTATAATTATGTTGAATTAGCCCGAGTTTCCTCTGGCCCAGACACCAGATTTAGACAGTTTGACCGATAGATGGCTGGTGTTAGGGCCAGAGGAAACTCGGGTTAATGTTGCATGTGTCGAACCTGCCCTAAATTGTTATTTCAACAAATTCGTATTACAACAATGCGAAAGTCAACACTTTTATGCATACATACATACCATCATATGAAGCTGTCAGTGTGTAACATGTATGACATAAAACATTAGTAATTCGGTTTACAGGAAGTTAGCACTTCAAGAAAGAAGTGAGGTAATGAGTTTACTCTCCCAAAAACCTTTCTCCGTTTAATAATATGGTTATTGAGTTTTCCTCGCCATTTTTTCAACTGAACTGCATATATCCTCAAAGTTGTAAATATTTGCTCAAGACAAAAATATCAGGGGTGGCTGGACTTACCCTGGTGCCGAACTTGCCCCTGTCTCCCCTAATATAGTTTAGGACTACAGTACAGGAACGAAAGTCGTGAACGGTCTTTTTAGGAAATGGTGTTATAATGTTATACTCTTGCGCTATATTGTCTTGACCATTTTTACAAGAAGTTGTACGAGCATCTAAACTTATGCTTTTCGTTTACAAAACAAAATAAACCTGTTATATAACGTCAGCCTTATATAATATGTCTGAGGATATAACGATAGGCATATACGTTTTCAGCTTGAATTGCTTCATTGCTTTCTTTTTAGGTTAACAATACCCCCTGTGCCTTCTCCAGAATATCATGGACACGAGGACGGCTAAAATAATTCTGTGATATTTGTTTTTTTACTGTTGTTTATACTCATCACAATGCAAGCTTATAATCTATATAGATATGTCGAGCTTATGCTCGTTTTTGTCAATAAACTATTTAATTTAAATTGAATTACTGTAGGCCTAGGTTCTAATGGGTTTTAAAACGCACTTAATTTTGTTATTGTTCGGTACCAAGTATAACATGCGAAGGACTATCTATCTATTGTTGAAGCAGCTTGAAATTGGAATACAGTAGACCTGGAAATGTTAATGATAACAACCGTGTTGATCCGATCTATTTAAACGTTATACAAACCACAGATATTATCAGAAGTATTGACGCTAAAAACACAGCAGCAAGAACTCCAAGTGGCATCGTGATAAGAGTGAGTTCTTCAACAGAAAGTTTGGAGCCGATTATTCCCAACAAGACAGTATAGCATACGATTCCGAGAAGAAATGATTGCATTTTCAACGTAATTAAAGTTAGCATACAGTTTGATTACATAAGTTCTTCTATGGTTGCTTTTTAAGAGAGTTTGTATCCTAGCGCTTTTCATACTTGTGTGATGTCGTCTGGTTAAAAATCCTTTATGAGACTGGCCAATGAGAATCATTGATAGTAAACTTTTTGAGGCGACGGCCAATCGCCGCGCTCGTTTCATTATCACAGGAAGTGGATAGCTATGACTTAGCTAGGCTAGTCCGGCATCGCCAAATAGGACTTTGACCACGAAGTAAGACAAAATAGGAAAAGGAATATTTGCACGATATATTTTGAAAGAAAACATCGGCTTTCATCTCTTGGTAAACATATTGGGTCCCTAACCTAGAACTGGTATTCGATAGACTGGATTGCATCCATGGAAACATTCCCTCTAGGCCTAATCTGCTAAAAGCGACTCTCACTCACAGGGACCTGAGAATTTGTTACAGCTAGATTTGGACCTTAAGATCGACTTTCAGTAAAAATGACACCCCGTTGGTTACATATAAACAGTGGGTGTCATTTTTACCGAAAGACATAATCATTGGGGTGTCATTTTTACCGAAAGTCAATCTTAACCCCTAAAACATGTAAAATTACTGTAGGTAGTTTAGGTCCAAATATACTGTAGCTGTTACAAATTCTCATGCTCCCTATGCTCTCACTCTCAGGCACAGGGCCTCGTATGATTTCTGGGGAATAATATTAGACTTTTAAATGTTTAATTTAATACTCAGTTAAAATTTGCCCCATAGAAATGATTGTTTTTTTGTATAAACTCTTACATAATACTCGCCCTACAAAGTCCACAGATATGTTCAATTGACCAACTCTGCCACATCTTAGATGTAGACACTTTTCTGAAAAATAACCATATACTGTCAGGTGCATAGCTGGGGTGTTTCCAATGTGCATGCAGAAAGTCGCACCGTAGGCATGAATCCATTCTATGGGGGTTCAGGGGCATGCCCCCCCCCCCGGAAATTTCTAGACCCAGAAGCACTGTCGTGCCATCTGGTGGCTTTTAAGATACATATCTGAGTGATTTAATTTTACAGACAACATTTTTTGGTTGATTCATTCACTTTGTTATTGGAAAGCATCGCAAAAATTCAAATGTATTTCAAATGCTAAAGACGGCTCTCCTTTTTTTCTCCGACAAAAATGTGTCGATTGTCGGAATTCCCCGAAAATATGTTGCGTCATATCTCTTTTCTGGTGAACCTAATTCAGTAGATATTTAAAATGTCTGAGCCAATATGAACAGATTAATTTATTCAGATTTTTTGCCCAAACCCTTTTTATATCATCAACATTTCTCAGAACATAAGATGACGGTAGGGCTCCTATATCGATGTTTAGAAATATAAATGTAATGTATCCAGTAGCCCTACTGAATATAGGCCTAGGACTACTTTATCAGTTCATGACAGGGACAAATGAATATATCTATGATGTAAAGTTCTCAATAGGCATATATAATGTCACAGATTAGCAAAAGTTACGTGGCTTTTCTCTGACTTTTGAAACATTGCCTTTTTAGGTCACCTGAGACAAAGTCTCAAGTGACCTATTGCAATCGCCTTTTGTCCATCGTCGTCCGTTCTCCGTAGTGCGACCGTAAACAATTTACATTTTCGATTTCTTCTCCAAAACCCCCGAACCAATTTCAATGAAATTTTGCAGGGACCTTCCATGGACAAAGGTCAACAAAAGTAGTTGCCGGTTTAGTCCTAAGCCCCCAGGGGCCTGAGGGGCGGGGCCAAAAAGGGTCAAATTGACTAAAATTTCAAAAATCTTCTTCTCCAAAACCCCTGAACCAATTTCAATGAAATTT